TTTTTTACCTCTCTTCTTCCATTAGATTTGTGGTAAGAAGATTTAGCGTGGCGGCATTATCTTACTTCACCGCTCAGAGAAAACCATTTCAAGCATTTAAGGCATCACCAGTCAACGTATGTGTCTGATTTGCTTCACTCACTAAAAGAGACCAGATCCTCACAAATCCGGCGCTGGAGAACTCGGAAGTAGTGGGCACAATAACTTGCTCAAGATTAGAATTGTAGTAGAAGTCAAAGCGGTGGGATCAGCAGGTGGTGAGAAAGGAAGAATCAGTTTTTTCGTATCTGTATTTGGGTGGGATAGGAAGAAAAAACAAGGAAATTGGGTTCATAAACGTGTTTCGTTCAGTGTGACATCACATCCAATAGTATCATCTATTTGCCAGTCTAAGCGTTATTTCCACTACTCAAACTGCATTGTTGTCATGTGTAACTTCAAAGCAACCGCATAGTCACGCAGGTGCTCTCGAGGATACTTGAAGGCACAGTCCACGATAATCTTGTTGTACTCTGTTCAAGGGCGGAGATGGTAAAGTGGCAAGTGGCGCACTATCTCACATGCACGATCAGGGGTTCAAATCCCGGATCGATATCCGCCTATGCCAACCGAGCCTTCCATCCCTGCGGGATCGGCTAATTGGTACCAGACTCGTCTGAGAGGATAAAAGCACTGACTTGAACATCGGCTGGCTACCGTAAGTCATTGTATAGGCCACATACGAATTCATTACGCCACTACGATTCTGAATGGAAGTCGAGTGCGGGGCGCATCCCTCAGACGGGATTGATTAACACCAAAAACTTTATCCTTTGACCCTTTTACTCTTTTCAAAATAGAAATCAAAGCCTTGGTGGGAAATAGAGCAACGGTAGAACAGAAAGCGAGAAAACCCGCAGGAGTCACTTAATATGAAGTGTAAAAGTACTAAAATAGGGGATTGTTCGAGATTACCAAGACGTGGTATGGAAGGGGCGTTTTAATTGTACAGCTGTGTAAAGAGCTGGCCAGAACAGGAAAAAAATGCTCAACTTTCCTTTATTCCCTGACCTTGACTAATGTGACCAGTTTTTAGATTTCCAACATGCATGCTCCATTGTGAATGGTGCAGCACTTGAATGACCGTTAAAACACGTCCGAGTTAGGGTGAAGACTTCGATGCCTTCTTCAGTTTTCTTTTTGTCTTTGGACCTTCGTTGCGCCTCGTCTAAACCGTTTCTCGACTCAAAGGTGTGTTTCACTACTCTACCGTACGTATACAGCTTCCTCTTCCTTGCTTATACAACGGGTGTATGTCGTTTGGCGCGATGGGTGGGGTCGCGCCGCCCATTTGAGGCGGCGCGACTCCGCCCATCGCCCCTTCAACTCATTCAGGTCGCGTAATCTTCCGCTATCCTCTCATCTATAGATGATAGAAGCCCAATCCAACATCTATAGAGGAGAGGAGAGCAGAAGATTACGCGATCTGAATGAGTTGAAGGGGCGATGGGTGGAGTCGCGCCGCCTCAAATGGGCGGCGCGATCCGCCCATCGCGCCAAACGACCGGCTCCCTTATACAACCCTATAATGTCACAGTGTATCCATATCTCATAACGTACTTACGAGTTCGAATCCGGCTACTGTGCTGCTGAGTTCAAACAAAACTCGTGTTGAGTTTTTGACCTTAAAGGCACAATTCACAATAAATGCTCCTCTCGTATATCACATGTGGCGCTGTCAGGTTGAAGTACGTTTTAGATAGTGCGTTATAGAGGCTCAAAGGTCCCAGTTGTATGTGCCGACGAGTCCTAACGGCATTGTGTGGAATACCCCATTTACAAGGGAACCAATGTAGGAAGTTCGAACAACATTTCACGACCCATAGTGACAGTGGAAAGCAATTTTGGATAGTTTTGGCTTGAAGTAGTCAGCTCTTTGCTCAATTGCAACAACTGAAATCTCGTCCAAATACCCATTTCATGTTCTGTCATGGTAATCTCGTACTAACCCTATTTTCACTACTTTCAAAGAGCCTTATTTTTCACAAAATCGGTGGGTTTTTTCACTTCTTTCACAACGATGCACTAATCCCAATCAATACCTCCACTTTTCGACTTCAAAAGGGTACCTCAAGTTTATCGCGACTGTGCCTTTATCGACAATGGCTTGTAGACAGTCCTTGAAAACTGGACTTTTTTTCGCTCACATTTGTTTTGTACCTGTAAGTATCCAGCACAAAAGGCAGAACGGCTCATTGAAGTGTAGATATGAGACGAGTTCATGCATTCCATCCTGTCAATAATTGGCAACACCGCAGCCTGGAGCCGCCTAGGATAAGCTGGGACAAGATCATTTTCATCTTCACAGTACCTGCATTTACTAAGCGTAGATAGGATATCTACTACACGAAATCTTACCAAGGCCCATGCTGCCCCAACCGGATACCACACATTTTCTCCCTTTTTCATACATGAATTCCCGCGAGGGCAAGCAGATCGGTTGGGTCCAATCGTCGAACCTCATTCCAGGTTGGTCTATTTCCAGTATTGCGAGATCATGAGCGAAGAGGTCTGAATCGATGGAATATTAGTAAATAAACAGTAATGAGGAGGAAATTCGGTAGAAATTGCATTTCTTCATTAAGCATATTTCGTTCTATTCTTTGATTATCATGCTTCGTTCGCGAACTTTCAAGAATTATGCTTTGAATGCATCCCGCAAGATCAATGGAGAGAAGTGATGTAAGGGGAATGGGTGGAAGGGAAGGGCGACACACGGGAGACGGGCGTTAGGAACGATTTCCCTGTGTCGCCCTTCCCCCACACACTTGTCCAAAGGGCGGAAGGTGAGCGCAGGGAAGCAGAGGTTAGGTGCAGAGTGATGCAGTGAAAACAGCGCAGTGAAAACGCTTCGAGGATGAAGTGGGAGGCGTTCCCACATACTCGCATGCCAACGTCGTTACCACTTCGAGATATAGGTTACGGCTAGATCACAGATATCGGAGATAAACAAAGTAGTAACAGCTAATGAAAGTTGGTAAGGGATCGCAGAAGTTTTTCAGTTCCTGACTATTTTGATTATACAATGTAGCCTTGACACTTTGTTTTATAGCATAAGAGAGGATGACGAAGTAGGGCTATAAAAATTATGTGGGGAGGGCGATACTAACCAGGACGGGTGCGGATGATCGAGCCTATTACGCTCTTGAACATAGGAAATAGAACGTAATTCTGTGGGATGTTTATTGAAAACGAGCTAGAGTGACGGCTGAGATTGGATTGCCCTGACGAACGTAAGTTGTGACGTGAGAGGTCAGTCAGGAGCTTGCCTCCCTCGCGAGCACATCCGACCTCAAGCATGGAGCGGTGGGTCGGATGACAAAAATTTACAGAAAAGGTGTTCGACGTCACCGACAGATGGAAAAAATTGATTTTCGTGGTCAAAGAGGTATCATTTTTACTGAACAAAAGGATGGAGGTTAACCTTGCATTCCAACCTCGAAAGAGGACCGAGGAAAGACCGTCCGATTGAATTGTAAGTGTGATGTAAAGTTGCAAATATGCTTTCGACTTTACAACTTCCGAGGACGGCGACATAGTCAAAAATTTAACCGACGATAACGTTGTTCTATGATCAGACTAAGAGGCTCAGCCAGATATTGCACAAAAAATGATGGCCCGTTTAGCAGGGGTAGAACCTCACCGAAAATCCCTCAAAGTGCTCGGAGGGAATCCATTTTCCTCCTCTCGTTCGATCACGAACATTCGTTCCCTTTCACGAAGAAGACACTGGCAAGGTCCTTTTGAGCGCCACCGAATTATTGTAATCTTTTGGACTCGTTTTCTGTGATTGTGTCGTTTTGCTTTATTATTTCGCCACAGTACGCAACACTGAACTCTCACAAGGATGACGAATTATGAGCAATATTTCAGCTCCGGACAGAACTCGAACCAGCACTTGTGCTAACTCCGTGTGCTATTATCTCTTTCAATTATGTAGTAGTGCAAGGACCCCGGTTGCCCACGCATTCTTTGATGGCTTTTATGCCATAGCTCATGGGCACTCAAACGTACAACGTGGTGAGCCAGTCAGCCGACATCAGCATCAAACCGTCAAGCTGCACGCATGTTCTACGTGTTGGTTCTAATTAGCTATGGCATTAGAAGCCATTGAAAAGGCAAGCGGGGTGGCAAGCGGGATCTCTGTAGTGTAAGAGATGAAAGACGGCCCAGACAGCACAAGTACGGGTTCGAGTCCCATGTAACGCTGAAGTTTTGACCATAAGTTGCCAACCTCGCGAGATATCATAGAAATGTGCAATCCTATTGAATGTAGTAGAACACATTCATTCTTGCTGAAATGGAAACCCAGTATAGTGCTTCTCAACCGCTTTCATCAGAACAGAAGCGTGGAAGTTTGCTAAGAACTGAATCAGTTACCTTCGTAGAGAGGGTAGAAGTGGATCTGAATGACGTGAAACGTTTGCTCATGCCCTTCTTGTATGGAAATGTCCCACTCACCCACGGTTACGATATAAGAGGTTGGACGACGATCTTGCCTGGAAAAAAACTTTGAAACGTTGCTAGAGATTCTACTCAAAACTAGTTTTCATAATCCGTTATATTTTCGGGCTTTATATGCAAAGATAGAGGACTTATTTAAAGCAAGGGAATTAAGACGGATCCAAGTTTCATAGATTTTTGCACAAACTAGTTGTCGTGACGAGGTGCCCTCTACCATCTGCATCGGCGTTCCCACACCCCAGTCACGGCAGAACGTGGGGATTTGGGTGCCCACACACCCCTAAGGGGACATGCCGTGCCGAGGAATGCTAAGGGTCCTGCTGCGGGCTGAAGAAGGGCCTAGTCCCCTG